GTGATTCCTCTTGCATAGGGATAAATGTAGGGGAGGAAACAAAAGCAGATTCAAAGACGAAGGGTGGGTAATCTCACTTATAGGCGTATGTTGTTTGTACATTCATTATGATTCATTTTGTTGAAGAATTTGTAAAACCTAACAATTTGCAATGGACATCAATTTTTTGTTACATAAAAGTTAAAATTTGAGTTTATTTTTAAATTTTCAAAATAACAATCGGTTTCATTCTTAATAAAACTCAAACTGTTGTCCTTTTCATTTTATGCAACTCATTTTCATGGCAAAAGTTGGGAGATATGATGGGCTGGTACTGTAAGTTCTAAGGATATAAGAGCTTGAAGGTGTTGTTCTTGGTATTCGACACTGCTTTGAGGTTGCAATTTTAGGCATTAGAGCTTTGTGATTGAAATCAATGAAGTGTTCATTTAAACATTTGAAAAGACAATTCATTTTTAAAGTATTAAATTTGTATTCGCCCTTCAACAAATGTAATTGTAATACATTATTTTTTTAACTTTTATAATTTAAATTATGATAAATTTTCTTTCTGTGCATCGCACGGGTACGAGTCTAGTAAAGTCAAAACATTCAAAAATTTTAGAACCAGAGAAAGTATTTGGCAAAGAGCTTTTTCAAAGGCTTCTAAATTTTTATTCCTATTGTGCTACTACTTTTGAGACATGAAAAAGTGACACAAACATCTCGAAAAATAAAATTGTATGAGTTATATTGACATTTAAAAGTAAGATAAATAAGAACAAAGGTAAACTACACAAATGTAATTAACTATAAATACAGAATATGAGACAAAAATAGTAGAAAAAATAAAAAAAGTAAATAACAAAAATAATGAGACTGAGAGAAAAATATATAATTCCTCTTTTTAACGGTAAATAACAAAAGTTACATATCCTACTATATACAATGCTAGGTGCATTGTGTGAATAGTGTTCCCGCCTAAACTAAAGGCTTTGTGGACCGGGTTTGGGCCAGGCTTTGTAAATGACGGGTTTGGGCTTACTTTGTGATGTGGGACTCAATAAAATTGCTTTATGTGTATTTAATTTTAGAGGCTCCATAAAGTTGCATTGAGGAAAAACAAAATTGAGTGGCTCCATAAAATTGCATGGGGAAAAACAAAATTGAGTGGATCCATAAAGTTGCATTGGGGAAAAACAAAATTGAGTGGCTCCATAAAGTAAATTTAGAAAAAAGTAACTTTATGTCAAATCTATCTATTATAAAAATTTTTAATATCTAGCCCTTTAATGAATGGTCAAAGGTATCATGAATCCTGTATTATATATATACTCGAGCATAATGATGTGAACTTCATTCCTAAAAAATAAACTTCTCAAAAATCATCTCAACATTTCCATTTCTCATTCAGCATCCAGCTCTCCACATCAATGGCAATGGTGTTTCTTTCTTTACATTATACGAGTATATATAAATTGTAGTCATCCAGCAGGTGTACATATACACATAATATATAATAGAGGCTTAGATTTTTAAATCCGGTTTTAAGTTTGAGGCAATATAAAAAATGAAATCGCCATGGCTGCAACAACGGGGGTTAATTCCGTTACGCCACGCCAAGATACGTTCATTTTCTTCGATGCCTCAAACATTAAAAGCATACGAATCACATAACCAGTTTTCAATGTCATATATCATCACATACATATCGATACATATATGAAAAAGAATATATATTTTTTAATAAATTATTCTATAATTAAATAAACACAAGGGAAATTGTGACGAAGATTAAGAAATAATTCTATAATTAAATAAAGGATTTTTTGATTTACAAATATATGTATTTGTGTATTATAATTAAAAACATCTCGATAGGTAAAATTTATATAGGCTTAGATTTTTTCAAATATGAATATATTTATAAGTATAAATAAATAAATAAATATATATATATAAATATATACATACATACATATACATATACATATATATCTCAAAAATTATAAATGTAAATTGTATGATCTATATATGCGTTCTAACACATCTTAATGAAAAAAAATATCAAAACGGAGCCCAGACCATCCAAAAAACGATGGGAAAAAACAACACATAAAGCCATACATGCATCGACGAAATGAATCGGCGTATATGGAATTCAAATACTTTAATAATCAAAGAGTACCAGAGAGGGAGAGAGTTACGGATGAGCGAACGACAAAAGAGATGAAGCGGAAGAGGATGGATCGAGAAAGAGAGGGTCGTAGCGGCGGAAATGAAGAGTAGGGTTGGGACGGTTAATTTATATCCTTGGGCC